CAATGGGCACCCACCTACCACAGGGGTCTTGCCAGGTGCTGGTTACACAGTGTCTTGCACATGAATCTTGCTCGCTCTTGCTCTTGTGCTCTGTCCTGGCTGCCGGAGCAGCTTGCAGGTGCACACCTGGGTATATCATGGGCCTGCCGCCCCGTTGGCCCCTCTCAGCACTGGCCAGGCCGTGGCATCTCCCTGTCCCGTGGCAGAGAAGGCCTGTCAGCTGTGTCCCGTGGAGGCAGCCAGGCTGCCCTTGCAGCCCCTGCCCTTTGCGGCTCTGCAAATCTGCAGCATCAGTCGTGGCGCCCGGCCTGGCAGCTCACGGCCGTGACTCAGCCGACTGGCTCCTGCCTTGGCCACACACAAAGAGTCCCATTCTCCTCCCTGGCCTGGATACGACCGCCCCCAGCCCAGGCCTGGCCCCGGGCTGTGGCTCAGCACATCAGCACAAAGCTCTGATTGACCGAACAAAACCCCTGCTGGGCACTGCCCAGAACAGACAGTGCAAGATGCCAGTGCCAAAGCCAAGCACACCGCAGGGCCACCCTTAGGCCACCCTCAGTGGGTCCCTTTACCCGGTGACCACCCGCTCTCCCTCCTTTGGGGGCTGCTTTGTCAGATCTGCCCTCCAGGACTGAGGCCTGGCTGCCTCAGCCCCCCAGCTGGCATACACCAAAGAGGCCACAGAGGCTCTGGAGAGTGGGTGCCAGCACCCCTGTCCCCAGTGCCATCCACAAACAGGGTGCTCTGTTTGCAGCGCTGGCTGAGCACAGGCTCACTTCATGGCAGGGATGGCCCCTGGGAGCTGGAGCTGTATTCGGCCCCCTCCTGCCCAGGCATGGCAGGGCCTGGTAATCAGTGTATTTATACCCCGTCATATGCAGCTTTACCCAGCATCTATTTGAGAGGAGCGATCTAGGCTCCAATGTGTCGACTCACGCTCAGCTGCTGGGGGAGTTTTGCCAGGGTGAGATCTGCTCTTGTCTGCTGTCATGCCCTAAATAAAGCAGCCCCTGCCTCTCCTCTGCTGAGACCAGGGAAGGCCAGGACTCCTGGGTTGCTTTCCCAGCTCTCCCCCAGCCCCCCTTGACTGCCTATCACTCTGCCAGGCTGTGCCTCAGTTTCCCCATTTGCAGGAGCTCTGCTGTTTTGGGTCCAGCTTCTGTGGCCGTGGTTATTTTGGCTGATCTAAGGGACTCCGCTTCTTCAACCAGGGCGTCGCAAAGGGGTGTTCACATGCCTGGATGACAGCTGGAGCCCATACGAGCTGCCCAAAGCGCTTCCCAGGTCTGAGCCCGGCTCCCTTAGCTACGGCCCCCCAGCTCGCAAGGGAAGTGGCTGCAAACCGCATCCTTCCAGCTCTTACCCATATGGCCCGAAGCTCCTAGCACATGCTGTGGGAAGCAAGTCCTTCCCCAAGCCCCCACCCCCTTGATTTCTCCTTTTCTCCTGCCAGGGGCAAGGCTGGGGTGGAGGAATCTGGGGCCTTCCTCTTCTCTTTGGAAATCAAGTTGCATCAGCTGGTGGAGAGCAGATGCACCGGCATCCCTTCCCCGGCCCTGTATAAATAGCAGCCGTGTTCTGCTGTCTCATTGCTAAACACATGCTGCCCTGGTGTTTTCAAAGCTATGCTTACAAATAGGTGGGTTGGCATCTGACCCTTCCCACCCTACCAATCTTCTCTGCAGCCGCTATGCCTGTGGCCTGTGTGGTTTGTGCCTGGGGTGATGCCTCTCATGTGGCTGGGAGCTATGCAGCCCCAGCGTTCGGGCTTGGCCTCTGGCAGGCAGAGGGGTATTAGGGAGATGCTCTCTTCCCCCCTTGCACTAACAGGGGAGAGAGGAGCAGGGCTGGGCTGGAGGTGCCCTGCTTGATGCCCGTTGAGGGGCTGCTCCTGGGGCTCTCCCAGCTGCATCTTGTGGCTGGTGCCTTGCGGGGTGCCCTGGGACCAGGCAGTGTAGACGGGGCCTGGTTCCTGTCTTAAAAACCATGGGGTCCTTAGAGGGCATCTGCTGAGCTGCAAGACACAGGCTGCTGGGAAGAAGCCAGTCCAGTAGCCATGTCCTGTGCTCCCGGAGTCAATAGCAGGGGGCTCACTGCTGATGGAAGAAGCCCCCAGTCCAGTCCCTCCAGCACCCCCCGATCTTCCTCACATCCTGCCGGCTTCCATCTGGCAGCTGAAGCATCTCAGGAGGAGCTGGGAAACTGCAGAGGAACCCGGTACCCCATGCTCAGCCCCTTGTCTCTGCTCCCGGGACAAAGCCCAGGGCTTTGGGAGAGCCAGCCAGACATTTGCAACTCAGTTGGAAGGGGCTGGGGGCAGTGAGGGAGGATTATCATCACCCCTTGGCTTCTCATTTGATCTGCTGCAAGACGCAGCTTCTTTGGAGAAAGCAATGACCTCACCCCAGATGTTAGCAAGGCCAGGAAACTTTTCCCAGGCCTCTTAGGAAATAAGTGGGAACTTCCCCCACCTCTTCCCAGCCTGCCAAGTCAAATAACTTTGCTGCAAGAAACCATTCTCAGGGCAGTGAATCACCATGACCGGTGCTAGCAGCCCTTTCACTTCAGGTCTGTCCAGGATGGAGGGTTTTGCTTCTGTTTTCACTCCAGCCAAGTGATGCATGTCTGATTCAGTTAGCCTATAAGGTGCAAATCAACCCTGGCTTTTGACTGTCATGAGCTGCCTCTGCTCAGAATGGCAATGGCTCCCCGAAGGCCAAGGCACAGATGAGGACCTTGCACCACTAGGTGCTGTACAGACCCAGGATGCCAAAAAGCTTATTGTCCACCACAGCTAGCACTCAGCTAGAATCAGGGCCCAAAATGCATCCACACCAAGCTCAGGTGGGAAGTCAATTGCTTTATTGGATGACAAATGAGCCAGGGACTCCACTAGCAGCTCATCCTGGGCTTGCCGGCAGCTGGGCATAGATCAGAAAGCCAAGGCTGGAGGTCAGATATGAAACCATCCTACAATGCAATCAGGCTGTGTGGACAGGGATGCATCTCTTTTTGGGATACTTCAGGCCTTTTGGCTCAGATCGAGTATAGTTTGGCCTCAGATCAAGTGTAGGGAGTATCTGAAGTCTGGGACTAAAGAGTCTGGGATGGAGGATGCTTGCCTGCTGTATCTGAACCCCAAGACTTCTGGGCTTGAGCCTGCACATAGGATGCCTGCCAATGGATTTGGGAACATCTGAAGTCCCAGGGGGATAGGTCTGGGAAGGAGGATGCTGGCTGGCTGTAGCGCCACACACGGTATTTAGAACGATTGAGTTCTGTCTGCTCAATCAGTACGGGTTTTGGAATAACTGAGTTCTGCTCAGTCGGTTGGATTTGGAACTGACTTGGCTAATTTAACCTGGAATATGATTTTTTTCTTTTAAGTCTCTTTTAGGGATACTCTGTGTCATCCCCATAACTCCCCTGGCACAGATGGCAGGTTGGGGAGATCTCAGGATCGGGGGAAAAACCATTCTAGTGGCTTTGCTGTCTCTTGAGCACAGCCTGCAACGGGCAGGGGGGGTTCTCCTCAGTGCCAACTGCCTCCGTGGATGCCACAAGGTGAAGAACAGGTGCTATCTCTTTGTGTGTGGTGGGAGGAAGGAGACAGGCCCTAAATCGATAATTTTGAGGTGTTTCTTCCTGGATCCGTGTCCGATGAACAGGAAGGAGAGATCCTCAGCCTCCTGGCACATCATGGGGCCCTGCTCTGTGGATGGATACGGGCACAACTGAGCAATGCCAGTTGGGGATGTGACCCAAGAGGCTGTCACCCCATGTCCATGCAGACAGCTTGTCACCCTAGCCGCTGCATTGTACGGCCATAACCTGCTGAGGCGGATGTCATGATGGCTGCAGGCAGGGGGATCCAGTGCTAACAGCAGGGATTAAAGAGCCCCAAAGCCACCCCGAGCTGAGCTGTCACAGAGAAGGAAGTGACAAGGCTGGCCTTCCACCCCCAGCCTGGTCCCATTTACACCTGGGCCAAATAGCATGGGTCCAGATGAGGCTTGAGCTCACCTCCTGGCCCCATCGTGAGACACCTCAGCTGTTGCACCCAGGGATGGAGACAGCCTTGAAGAGGCTGGTGGAGTCCCTGCCTCTTCTTCCTCTCCTTAAGGAAGCAGGGCTTGAGGCAAGGGGCCAAGCAGAAGCCCAGAACGGGGCTGTTTCTTATCCCACGGGGGTCAGACTCAATTATCCTGTTGCTTCTTGGGGGTCATGTCCAGTTCCTCCATCCCACGTGGCTGGAAATGCCATGCTCAGGTGCAGGAGGAGACAAGATGGGAGGAGCTGGTGGGATGAGGAAGAGCTAGGACCCTTCACTGTGCTATGGCGGGGGGCGGGGGTCCATCACCCCAGTCCTACCAGCCTTGTCATTAACAACCCCCCATCACGCCTTTGTGGGCCCTCAGGACACAGTAGCCATCTCTATTCCCCCCCTCCCAAACCCGTGAGCACCGGCTCAGTTGCTCTAAAGAGAGCAGGCACCTCCGTGAAACCCCAGCTTCGATTTCCTTTTGCACCAACAAACCCAGAGACTGAAAACACAAAAGACGCCAGAGCAGCCACAGAGCGGGAGAAAGGAACCTTGTTCTTATTGATGCTTCCAGCGGGTAGAAATCACAGCAGAGCAAAGGGGACGACAGAGAGTGAGGCTCCATGCGTGATTTGGTGCGGGTGTGAATCAGAAAGGGGAATTTCCCTCCCACGTTTGTGTTCCTCTATGTTGCACCCCAGGCAAACAGCATTGCCCCCAACTCCGCGCCCACCGAGACACAACCGAGCCCCGAGGGCTGAGTCTATGCCACTACGTTCACGTGTGCTTCAAAAAAAAAAAAAAA